GGGGGGGGGTTTACCTGAAGCAGCGCTGACTGAGAGCTCTGCCTACTTGAGCAAGGGGTGCCCAGAGCCTGGGACAGGAAGCCATGGCAATCTGCAGCCCGCAGCTCCTGCAGGAAACAGGGAACAGAGGGTCTCTCTCCAAGTCCGAGTGTGCACACCGAGGCAGTTTGCTTCCCGAAGGACTGAGGGGCAGGGGAAGAGGATGGCTAGTCGTCGGTTGGGAGAGGCACAGGGTAGGGACCCAAGGAACCAGCCCCATCCGGGCTCCCATGTGGCTGATTCCCGTTCTAACTCTGGGGCTGGAGAGCCAGGCCGGGCTGGCTCACGAGACAGCTCTGAGATGCCATCCTTTGACTACTGCCAAGGGCAGGAAGGCGGCATGAACCTCGTGGTACACCCCAACCAGGCGCCTCTCCCCAAGTCCTCCAGGGAAGAAGAACTCCGTATGGCTGCCCAACCCCAAGCTCAAGGCCGGCTCCCCTCAAGAGAGCTGATGGTCTGAACCGGCCAGGCCAAGCTTGCTGCCCAAGCGGTCAGTTCCCAGACGTCAAAGCGCAGGTCCTGCTGCAGCTCAGAGCCAGCAAAGATCTGGGGGGGCTGCCTGGCTGAGCTACGGAGCTGCCAGCTCTGGCACACGGGAAAACCACAGGCCCCAGAGTGTGACCGCTGCGAGGGCAGGGTGAGGAGTGCCTGCGTGGGGGGCAAAACCCTGAAAGCCAGCCCAAGGCACAGGGCTCCAGCCTGCAGCACCTCCAAGGGCACAGTTCCCAGGGGCATGCTGTTTGTTTGAGGTAAGCTGACAGCCAGTCATTCCAGCTGCACCACATGCCTGCTCTCCCATCGCCTCGTCTGGCTGCGGCGCCCCTCGGTCAAGAGCCCTGTTGCGAAAGACTCCGGGCCTGGGCTGACCGCGGCGGTGTTTGCACATAACTTTGCAGGACTTCAAAGCACCTCAGGTGAGGGCTGGGTCGATAGGCGCTGGGGGGAACCCACCACAATTTCCTCCCACAGGAACACCCGGACACTCCAGGGACAAGAGGCCTTCAAAAAGTTCATGGGGGCAAAGAAATAAAAATAGTTTGTGGAAAGATCAAGGAGCTTTGCCCAGGAGAGTAGTTCTGCAGTTCCGGAGCATAAACTTTAACTACCAGTAAGTCTCAAATCCAAATCCGACCTGCAGGGTCGGCAGTTCGAAACCACCAGCCGCTCTGAGGGACACAGACTGGGCTTTCTACTCCTGTCAAGTTACGGTCTTGGAAACCCACAGGGGTGGCGATGACTCGGTGCGGTGAGTGTGGTTTGGTCCAGCGGGTTTTCCTTAGGCCAGCCCGTGAAGCAGCGGACAAGACGTCACTGCGGTCGGAGGGCGAGGTGCAAAAGGCAGCAGCTAACTTCCAGAATGGTCACGCTGGACGCTACAGGACCTGGGGTCACGAGCTTGTCAGGTTAGGCCAGCCTGCCCCGATGAACTCGGTACCCGAGAGACGCCGTCTGGATCGTGGTTTCTGTTCGATGGCATCGAGCCCACTCCGACGCACAGTGAGGCACCCGGGTGAACAGGGATGCCACACTGCCCGGTGCCGGGCCATCCGTCAGCCGTCCCATGTCAGAGCCCATCCTCTGTCTCATGGGCCTCCCCTTGACCGAGCAGGACGTCCACCTCCAGGGACTGGTCTCTCTTGATGGCACCCAAAGCACCCAGGAAGCGCCCCCAAAGTTAGGGCAAACTCCGGCTGCCCTTCTCCCGAGACGGATCTGCTTGTCCTCCGGGCAGCGGTCCATGGCGGGCTCACTGGTCCTCGCCAAGGCCGCGATTCTTCCCCGTCTTCCTTCTCCCTTGTCCGGCGCTCACCGGCCCCAGCAGGAACCGAAAACGCCGCGTCTCGGGTCAGGCGTAACCGAGTCCTCAAGGTGGCACCTCTCCTTCTCGGGGAGCCATGGTGGGGCAATGCTGAAGCGCTCCCCTGCGAAACATAAGGTCGGTGGTTTGAACCCCCGTCACTGCGGGAAGAGAAATGGGGCGGCGACATTACAGCCACAGCCACCACCCCTTCATGCCGTCCAGTTGACTCCGCCTCGCAGCCGCCCTATGGAGGATTCCTGGGACTACAAACCCTGATGGACGCAGACAGCCTGGACTGTCCCTCCACAGCGTGGCCGGGGGGTGTGAACCACCAACCTTGTGGTCAGCAGCCTGGTGCTCATCCAGCAGCCCCCAGGCAGGCCCCTGCATTTGGTTTGGTTTTTGCAGCAGCAGCAGCAGCAAGAAGAGCAGCAAGTCAACGATCGCTGTAGGGCTGCTTCCCTCCCGCTTCCATGGGCACTGAAGGTGGGTCCACACGACGTGAAGTTCTTGACAGCTCCCGTCAGCGGATGTGGCCGGTCTGTCTTTATGGTGAGGCCTCACCCGTACTGAACGCTGTGTGTCCTCTTCGACCTTCATCGGTGTCCTCTGGGATTTCCCACCAGGAGGGCTGATAACGAGTCTTCCTCGGTGCACAGACGGACTGAGAATGGCGCAGTGATTACCCAACGGGGCTGCTCACCGAAAACCACCAGCCGCTCTGTGGGAGACAGACGGGCCTTTCTACTCCCATCGAGAGTGACCGTCTCAGAAACTCGCTCCAAACGCCCTGCCATCGAATCAGCGCGGACTCACAGCAACCCTGTGGGTTCCGAGCCCGGCCTCCTGCCTTGGAGCTGCTGGTGGTTTGGAACTGCCGACCCTGCAGATCGCAGCCCAGCGTAACCACTCTGCCACCCAGGCTCCTTTCCAGGGCGGTGCAGCTGTCCGACAGGGATGCGGCATCGACTTGGTGGCAGTAAGTTTGGGTTTTGGGGGGTCTGGTATCGCCTTAGTCTGTTCAAAGAGGTGCATCTCGGTCTGTGTCCAAGCTCCAGGTGAGCACGTTGAAGTGTTCTGGTGTCCCCGTCCCTTAGCAACGCCATCCACAGTTCACCATGATCAGCACAGGGAAAGGCCTCTGTGCAGCCCGTGAGACCCAGGCCAACCGCCCTCCTGGTAGTCTCTGCTCTCAGCCAAGAGCCGGTGAGCACAGCTGCTCACCGGCTGGTCACGAGGCCTCGGTGAGGTGAGCCAAGCACAGCACTTGGCCTGGCACGCAGTCCTCGGTCCTCAATGTCCACTGGCAGCAGCGTGATCAGCTAGTCACAGCTCCCTTCAGGGATCGGGGCACCGAGGCGCAAAGCGAGTCAACGACTCGTTCAACCCTTGCCACTCACGGGAAGAACCGGAAGCAGACCGAGCCTCGGGTCTTGCAGTCACGGTCACCGGCCCCACGCAGCGGTGCAACCCTCATGCCGCACAAAGGTGCTCAGGACTGGAGCCACTAGCCAGGGACCGGCTCTGTTTTCTTTCCTTACGAAGGTGCATCAAAGCCACCGGGCACTAGATTGTGCTTTACATGCACTGCCACCACCGGGGTCTCACGGCTGCTCCCGAAAGGGACACACGTGAAGAAATGAGGCCGGAGAGGTTCAGGAACGAGGGGTGCTCTCGACCGAACTGTGTCCCATCAGTGGGTGCTGTAAATCCAACCTCAAGGGTCCCACGGGGAGGTGGGCTGCGATGCTCTGAGCCAGCACTGACTCAATGGCCGTGAGAGAAGTAGAAGGTGGTAAGGCAGATGCCGAGACACGGGGGGCTCTGCGAGGGCTCGGGAGGCAGAGGCTGCAGAGACAGCCCCCTCCAGAGCTGACGGAGAAAGCCTCCCCCCTCCTTCCCCAGCCGGGGCGCAGGAGCAACCGCCAGCAAGACGCACATGCTCAGTTCTGTTGTGCGTGGGGCGGGACCTAACGACAAACAACAGTGGCACTGTCCCCAATGTGGACTTCTCGCCTCCTGAAGGGAGCCCTGGCAGGGTCGTGGGCCGCACCCGAGCTGCTCACAAGATCAGTGGTTCAAACCCACCCGTCGCTCCGAGGGAGAGAGACGAGGCGGTCTGTACGCGTGCTCCCGTAGAGAGCTAGTCTGTCTGGGGCTCTCTTTTTCCCTGTTCTTTGTCCTCGTTTCCTATGTTTTTCTGCACAGAAAGCCAGGGTTTTGGAAGACGGTAATGGCAACAATTAATCACCTGGGGGTCTGAGGGGGCAGGGAGAGGACATGGGGCGTCAGGAGCAATGGGAACGAGGAGGAGGAAGACAACGTCCAAAGCGGATTGTCGTGGTGAGTGCACAGCCCTGGAGATGACAGAACGGCTGCGTGGTAGGACGTGCCGATGACAGCTCAGTAAAACTCGTTTACAGGGAGAGTAGCAGGTTCAGACACCCGAAGGGGCGGCTCTAGCCTGTCCTGCAGGGTCGCGATGAATCCGCATCCACTCGATGGTAGGGGGCCTCCTCTCGGGTGAGGGCATCCATGTGTCAGTTAAAGCCGTTCCCTGCGAACGCGCGCGGTCTGTCTGTCTGTCTGGTGGCACAGCACTGGGAGAAGGAAGGCAGAGCCAGGGAGGAGGAGTGAGGAAGCTGAAATCTGAACCCCCGCTGTCTGCTTCCGAAACCTGTGCTCCTCATCAACAGAGGGTAACCCTGATGATTGACCTCAAATGTCAATGCCGCCCCGGCGGTTCCAGCAGCCGATCTGAGCCCATCCCCAGCACTCGAGGCCACGCCACGCACCACGTCGGTCCGCTGACTCGGCGGAAAGGCAGACACCGCTGGGGAGGCACACTCATCAGCTCCCAGCTCGCTCGGAGGACAAGTCGTCCCGTGGGTGGGAGAAGCGCACCACGTTCTGGGCAATAAATAAAGCTTGGCTTAGGGGGAAAGAGAAAACGGCAAGCACAGCTCGGGAAGCAGCCCTTCTGGCGCAGGCTGCAGTTCCCCCGGGAGAGAGGCGGCCGCTGCACTAGGCCACAGCTCCCGCAGGACGGGCCTGGCACCACCCACGCTCCGCTGTGACACCCTGCCTCTCCACACAGGTGCAGCTTCCTCAAGATGCTGAGGTCAGGCCAGGGACTGACTGCAGGCAGAGACAGCGGCTTCCTGACTCAAGGGGAAACCCCACCACTCCAGGCCCCTCCCTAAAATCCGCAGGGTGGTCCTTGCACTCCCAGAAAAGGAGGCTTCCCCGCCCCAGCCGCCTCCT